GTATATGGCAGGGAGGCAATATATTTGGTCTGTTATGAAGGATAATCACAAAAGAAAACATTTTTTTCTTGAGAAAAGAAAATATTAAAAAGAAATACCATCAAGGAAAAGAAAAACTGATCCCCCAAATAAAGGGGCCATTAAATGAAGAGAGCCATGTTATACTGACAAAAGCATTATCCCTATTATCAAGAATAATGTAATAGGGCCAGGGATTTAGCTCAGTGGTTCCGGCGCCTGCCCTGCAAGCACAAGGAACCAAGTTTGATCCCTGGTACCAAAAAAAAAAAAAAAGAATAATGTAATAACATCTAATTCTTATGTATTACGATCATTTTGAATAATGAACATATATAGAAAAATACTGACATTGCATGGTGACTAAGCAATTTTGGAATAAATCCATAGACTATGTCACAGCATGCATAAATCATTTATACCTAAACTGTTCATTTTACTTGAACAAATTATCATTAGCATACTGGTAATTTTGAAATGATGTAATAAAAAAATTTTGTTGCAGTATTTTATTATTTTGCTGAATTATATTTGAGAAAAAGAACCTAGCTGTCTCACCTATTTTTTTTTTTTTTTGATACTGGGGATCGAACTCAGGACCTTCCACTTGCGAGGCAGGCGGTGGAACCACTGAGCTAAATCCCCGGCCATGTCTCACCTATTTTAATACTGGTATATTCTGGATCACATTATACAAATACATGTATAGAAACTTAAAAGATCATAAATTTCCCACAAGGAAACGTTATTTATTATATATCACTGATGTGAATTTACAAAACATTTTAACACTGCAAACATTAGAAGTTTTAATATTGGGCATGGGAAAAAGTTTAGACTCTACTACAATGCTGCCGGTGTACTTCTACACAAGGCCTCTTAGTGTCATCAATCAATTGGAGGTAGGAGTTTATCAATGAATTGCTTGACATCCATCATTTCCTGTTGACACGAACTATGCACCATGCTTTCATAGGTTTTGAAGGTTACATTGGCTGGATTTACCAACGGTTTTAGTTTTTCAACAGGGAACCAAACATTAGGGGAACTAAAGGGTCGCAATCTCCATAGCACTGGAGAATAGAAATGTCTTTGTTAACACCGCTGATAGGACCCTGAGAAAATCCTCCCAAAATAATTGTTAGAAGGAATGCCATTCTTCAACTCTTGCTCTATTAAAGCTTTTACATTTTCTGCTGCCCGTTTAATTCCAGATTCATCCTCCTGAGAATCTGGTGAAAGCCCAATGTTGTCAAACCAAGAAGGCATAGCCATGTTCACATTGAACGTTACAGGCATAACTGGCGCATGTGGGCAGATATATTTGATATGTGAACTTCTGGTACCTGCAAAAGCTTCTGCCCATCCATGCCCAGTATCTCCCAATCCATGAAGGAAAATAACCGCGGCGGTGGCTTTCCGGGCGGCGGGCACGATGGCTGGCATCGGAGCAGACATACTATTGCCGCACATCCACCGGTTGGGAGGACAGCGTGTCGGAAGCGGAAGGGAGAGCGCGCTCGGCGGCGGCCTAAGGGCGGCGTGCGAGCGGCGAGTCCCGGCCCGCCTCACAGGGCGCGCGCGCTCGAGCACGTGCGCGCCACCGCGGCGCCGCACCGCCCTCCGCTGGCCCCGCCCCGCGCTCCATACTAGCACCTTTCTAATAAAAACAAGTCTACTTCATGACACATACTTATCAACTGATTCTTTAGTTAGGCATGTACATTTTAATGACTGTATCATTAATGCAATGCAATAAATATATTTACTATTGAGTTGCACAAAACATTAGGACTTAAACCTACAAGGTATTTCACTCCTTCTGCTTTAAAAATCAAAATCATCATCAAAGAAAAACAAATCCGACAATGCACCTGGATCTGAATGGAAGGCGCTTCCAGTGCTCGGTACACCATGGGCAGGACGCTGTTCTTTATCTCATCGGGAGGGGTTTTGGTTAGCAATAAATCCATTTTTTGTAGGAAAATTAACAAAATCTGTTTTGAAAAAGGAAAAACATGCATTAACTCCTAGAATCTTTAAAAGATCTGATATATGGCAAAATTTAAAGTTTCTTCCAAAGGTGTATGTATTTTGACACTCACCATGTTGCTAGCCTGAAGGCGTGGAAGACAAAAACACACAAATCAAGTGTTTTACATCTCTGGGAACATAATATTTAATATCTGTTCTCGATTTAATCACTTAAATAGACTAATTCCCTCACTCTCACATGCCTACAGTAATAATCACTCGCCCATGAGAACCAACGATCTGGAAAGCTACTGGGTTAAAAAATAAAGTCTGAAGGCAGCAAAGTCAGCCCAAAGAAGTAGATTCCATCACTCAGCTTCTATAAAACTCGAGAGAAGAGGGGAGAAAGAAATGAGAAGGTCTGGAAGGAGAAACTCCAGGAAGAAGGATTTTTAGCTGTCCCTGATTGTTTTCAACCTAGCTGCTCCACATTCCTAACTTATAAGGAACAAACTGCCCCCTTCTATTCATGCAGAGTAGTTTTGCCAAGACTCAAATTCTTTTAAGAGACATTTTTAACTGAACAACTAAGGGGAGAGGGAGTATGCCAAAAGGGACAAAAAGGAATTCAGGTTATAGGTTTCTTAGGATACTATCTCGAGAGCCGCGTAGCTTAGGGAACCCGTGACCCTGTCCACTTCCCCCTTGATGGGGACTCTTGGAAGGGTCCGGGAGACCCTCCTGCTTCAAAGCCCAAGCTCCTTCCTTGATCGTTCCCTGATCCACAGCAACTCTGACCACACACTGCCTCGTCCCACCCTGCAAGGGAAGGACTACAAAGCTCATACATCAGACAGTGCATAGCTGAATGACAAGCTATTGCCCTACTACAGCAGAAACACAAAATATTTACTCTGTGCTGGAAATTTTCATGTTATTCCAACAACTCTTTTCATTTTAGAAATGAGGAAATGGAAGCTTTAAGATGGTAATGACTCATCTAAGTCTACCCAGAAAAAGAAGCCCAGATTCAAATCCAGGCATGTGATCCCTCTGTGCTTAAATCTAAGATGACCTTCATCCTGGCAAATACATATTGTAATACAGCCCATGAGAGAGTAACTTTTTCACTTGTGACACATATACACATCATTTCCATGGTGCTCTAAGCAGTCTCCTCTTCTACTGAAAGTATTTATTAGCAAGAAAGAGAGAGCAAACTGGCACAAATTGACTACAAATTAAAGACTGGAATAACAAATCAAACAAAAATACTTAAAAGTGCTAGAGGAAAATTAGTATTTCTTTTCCCAAACATACAACTTTCAATAAAGTCAACTGAGAGCAGTACAATACATGCAAAATTTTACTGCAATTTATTTGTAACTTATAGACAGCCAAAGACATTTCCGGCAAAGTTTAATTTTAACTTTAGGAATGGTTCAAACATATGCAAAGTAGCTTTCTAATTAATACAAAAAGAAAGTCTCTTATACTTACCTGAATTTTTAAAAAGCCATATTCACTTACTTTGTTTGCAGTAGTAGTCATTATCGTGAATAACAGTAGATAAATATGCAAAAATACCTAAAACATACCTGGATTGGCTCCTGCTGTTTAAATACAGGGCCAAGTTCAGGTAGAATCAATCTGACATATTCTTCTTTGGTGCATTCCTCAGCAATCAATAAAACATTGGGCAAAACAAAAGGAACCATGTCAGGATTCACAAATTCTGATGTCAAACAAGGCAAAATTCTCTGCACGATGACACGCTGAAAGGCAAAAGTGTTTTTATAAAAACCAAATTTATTTTAGGCCTTTGGAATTGACACTGAAGTATATAGTGTCCAATCCCTTTAGGTAAACTGACGATATAATTTATGTTAACATTAGTTTACTTTTTAGAGAAACATCGGACACTATCGCTATGCTAAGACAAACAGTGTAGGTGGGGAATGTCAGGGGTAAAGGGGAAATATGGTCCCATTTTTAGGAAACCTTCCTTTAGCCTTCACTGATGTATCTCTCTTCATTCATTAGTTACAGTTCGCATCACAATTTAAACACTGTCCTACACTGCTGACTGTCATCTCAAGCATGTCAACCCTATCTGCATTTACTGTAATAACCTGGAGAGCCGGGACAATATTCTATGCTTCCTCTTTACTCTTCGTACCATTTAAGTTCAGGGCTGGACAAACAGTAGGCAACCAGTGCCTATCTGATAAACACCGGGAACTTCTGCGACCAGAAAATACCAGCTTTACAACCAGTGCTTCGTTTAGCATTCGTCAACATTTTTCAGACTGTTTTACACACATAATTTAATAAGTCAGAGGGGAGCTAAAGGAAATGGAAAAGCTAACATCAATACAGGAGTATCCTCTTAACTACTGCTGAGACAACTTCACAACAACAGTCACGGACTTCTCTTCTGACATTTAACGTCCAACTGCTGCCTTGACACAGGTAGTATCCTTCCAATTTTTAAAATCCTGTTTATTTTCTGACCATAACAAAACTTTTGGCTTTAGTCTGTAGCCTTTTATAGTCTTTTAGGTACCCAAGGCAAAAGTTATGTTATTTCCTTGAAAGAATTATTACAGTAAGTCAAAGTAAACTTTAAATTTAAAAATACTGACTCTGAGAAAAAACTGATAAACAACAAACCTTGGGCAGTTTTGGTAGAACCTTTGGCAGTCCTTTGAAAAACTGTGATTTCTGAAGATTATCTCTTTGGAATAAGCTATCAAAATATTGAAGCGTGACTGCACCAACATCATCAAAGAAAGGAATCTAAAAATAAGGAAATAAATTATTTTTATTAACATTAAATTGAAAGTACTTCTCATATCTGAAACTGCCATATGGTGAAAAAATATTCAGAAACATTTAGCAAAATGGTAAAGACTGGTTTAATAGAAGATCTAATTATAAAACTCAGAATAAGAAAATAACTTTTCTTTTCAAATACAAATATTCAGAATTACTACTTGTGAGTTGGATGAACAACTTTTTTTAACTCTGAAAGACTGAAAGATTAAGTAAAATATCTTAAAAGCATAAAGAACAGTAGCTATTTATTAAAATCCATGTTCATATGAGTGAAAAAGGTTCTGACTTTTTTGAGAGTCCAGAATGTCTATATAACTGTGTCTCTTAACACTATTTATTTGAAATTTTTCTATCATGACACTTATGTAAATTATTTAGCTGTTGAAGAGTAAAAGAAATTGTGTATTTAATATGCTCAAAAACACAGATGCTATCTAAGGACGAAATTGACTAATATCTTGACTTAGAACTTAATCTACTTTAAATTTTTTTCTTCATTTTTGTCCCACCAGCAACTGCAGAAATCTGTGTGTACTCACCTTTATCATTTGATCTGCATCTGGTCTTACAGCTGGAGTTACATTTAACAGTAGTTTCACGTGTTCACGGACTTCCTCAGGTATGCTTGTAAGTGAACTAGATCCTAAACGACTCAACTATTCCAAAGAATAATAACATTAAACATGAGTATAAAATACCCAAAAAGATATATAATTATATTAATAGTGTGTTTACTCAGTGTAGATTGAACAAAATGCTAAATCTTCTTTCTCTTTTTTTGAGACAGAGTATGTAGTTTGCTATGTAGTTCGGGCTGGCCTTAAACTCACTATGTAGTCCAGGTTGGGCTCGAACTTGCAGTGATTCTCCCACCTCAGCCTCCCGAGGGCTGGGATTACAGGCATGCACCACAATGGCCAGAAAAATGCTAAATTTTCTGTTGCAAGATATCTTATCTTTGGCCGGGGATTTAGCTCAGTGGTTTCGCCACCTGCTGCGCAAGCGGCAAGGACCCCAGTTCGATCCCCAGTACCAAAAAAAAAAAAAGATATCTTATCTTTAATATATACCTGAAATTGTTTCCAATCTTAAACAAAATGCCCAGCATTTTAGACTGTACTTTAATACTCACAGTAGTAAATGCTGATTACAGTTGTAGTAACAAACTTAAACTAGTGGTTCATTACTTATAGAAATTACTTTTATTAAAATAATGCAAACTGGAAATTCATGCAAAATGGAAATGAGGCACTAATTTAACAATTTTCTAACTGCATTTTAGAAACAATTTCAAGAAATTTTAATACATTTTTAACACAAGTAAATATAAATAGGCAAATACCTGATCCAACTGCCTACTAAAACTTTTATATATATCTTGCTTGTTGACTTCAAATATAGGTTTCCCTTTATGAAATACAGCATACATAACAGTTCCTAGAGAATACATATCACTGGCTGTTTCACAGCTGACAGATAGTATGTATTCAGGAGCCAAATACTCAGGATTTGGAAGACATAATGATGGTAAATTCGGGTCCCATTCTTTACAAGGAAACTTAGGCTGTAATAAAACAGAAAAGAAATGACACAGATTCAATATTTCAATCAAAGCAAACCATTATCAAGCCACAGCAATCTATCTTTAAATCTGTACTGCGTCAAGTAAAACTGTCACTATCACCTTCAATTCTAAAATCTCCAAACCCCCATATCTGGAACATACATGGCAATAAAGTGAAAGATAAGAACGCTCATAACTGAGATCACTGAAGTCTCTTCCATTAAAGGAATTACCCCTAGAAAATGCAGTATGGCCAGGCAAAGGTCTGGCTCATGTTTTATGCTATACAGGCTTCAAGTTTAATGGACTTAGAGAAGACAGTTGCTTGAAACCTTGTTCTTCCACTATGTGATTAGTTAACAGCTTCAAAAGACTGTAGTAAGAATTAACATGTTCATGATGGGGCTGTGATTCATATGTCTCACTGCCAGAAGGCTTGAATCACCAGTGGTACACGCACTGTCCCATCAGGTGGCTTTTAATTAATTGTATTAGTGAAGAGTCTGATAAGAGTGACGGATCTCTTGTACCACCAGTGGCACCAGCCGCCCGATGGGACAGTCGTGCATGTACCACTGGTGATTCACCCTGGCAGGAACGTGTTAAACACATACGAAAGTCAGACCTAGCACCATGCCAGTCTATAGTACACTTAAGCAGTACTAATTCTTTCAGATTCCCTCAATTCCACCACACTGGGCAACTCAGGCAGGAGGATCTCAAGTTCTAGCCAAAACCGGGCAACTTAGTGAGACTCTGTCTTAAAATATAAAATAAGAAGGGCTGGGATATAGTTCAGTGTGAAAGAAGAAGAAAGCTGTTTAAATTACAAATCCATTTTAGGTAAATTATGGTGCCTTTAAAAGCAACATATAGTAAACATCTGAAAAATAACAGGTGCCATCTCTCAAAAGGTTTTCTTCTACCCAAAGGAGATTATTAAATTCAGTAAATCGGGGAAATGTTGCTAGGGATTCTCAAATGTAGTCAGCATGTTTGGCATTCTGAGGGCAAAAAAACCCCTATTTAACACAATAGCTATCAAATTTATTTAACTCTGGCATCCTTTTCTCAAGTAATAATAACTTCTATGGAGCTGTTGAGCTGAAGAGTACTAAATGTTCTATGAAGGTGTAAATGTAAATGTCCTACTATACACACAGTCTATCCGTACACATGAATCAGGGTTACACTAACCCTCTAGTCCATTCCAGGTATAATCACAAACTTCCATGGCTTTGAAAAATTGAAAGATGAAAACTTTCTTTACCTCTTGTTCAGAAGGATTGGTCGATGACACACAAAAATCAAAACCCATTATTTTCCAGGCTCCACTTTTATTTAAAATTATGTTTTCTGGAGTAATATTCCCATGAACCATTTTCACACTGCTGTGCAAAAATGATAATCCTTCTGAAACCTGTAAATAAAAAGTTATTTTAAGTAAAAATCCTTCCAACTGCAATAATAAAATGTCTCATAAAAATCATAATTATTGCTGGTTCTCCCAGTCAGAATTTTGTACGTCAACTAGCAGTCCAATTTTATCACAAATGCAGAAGTGTAAAAATTCTCAGGTGCCAGGACAATCTAAGCATTAGTGGGAAAAACTGGATTATAAAACCAAAGAACAACTACTGTATCTACCAAGTTCCTTTCTGTGTACATATAAGCAGAAGGAAAGAGAAAAGCAGACTCACTGAGAGAAAAATTAGGGAAATAATCCCTTTCACAACAGCATCCAAAAAATGAAATACCTAGGAATCAATCTAACAAAGAAAGCAAAAGACCTCTACATTGAGAACTAGAGCACTCTGAAAAAAGAGATTGATGAGGATATAAGAAAATGGAAATACATCCTTGTTCCTGGGTAGGAGGAACCAATATAGTGAAAATAGGCATACTTCCAAAACTACTATACAGACAGATTCAATGCAAT